GCAGAGAGAGAGGAGGAAGCAGGCTCCCTGCTGAGCAGAGAGCCCGATGTGGGGCTCGATCCCAGGACTCTAAGATCATGACCCGAGCCGAAGGCAGCGGCTTAACCCACTGAGCCACCCAGGCGCCCCTAAATAAATAAAATCTTAAAAAAAATTTTTAAATGATGAAATAAAGAAGCAAACAAATAAACTGTATTTATATATTTGACCAGCAGAATGAATGTGTATCTCCTTTAAAGGGGCCTCTTTCATCATGGACCATCTGCTGTAATACTTCAGAACTTCACAGATAAGAGCAGGGGACTGTGTCGTCCTGCAGCATTTGGTTAACCTCTAAATGTCAGAAAGTCAATCTGACTATGCTACCCATTCCAACAGCTGAGGTAGTATCTGCTAGAAAAGGCAGTTTCATTTTCAAGTCTGCTAGATGAATGAGAAACGAACTATTTAAATTTGAACTATGTATACTTTTAGGTCTGTTAATTGATATGTATGCACCAAACTTAATCACTTGTTCAATATTGTGTCAAAATCCAAAGTTTTCAGGGCTCCTGGGTGGCTCAGTCGGGTAAGCAACTAAGCCTTCAGTTCGGGTCATGATCCCAAGGTCCTGGGATCGAGCCTGCATCGTGCTCTCTGCTCAGCAGCGATCCTGCTTTTCCCTCTCCCTCTGCCCTTCCTCCAGCTTGTGCTCTCTTGCTGGCTCACTCTCTCTCTCTCAAATAAATAAATAAAATCTTTAAAAAGAAATCCAACGTTTTCATGTAACTCCTCTTAAGCAATTTGAAAGGATTACTCTTGAGTTCTTGATGCACTGATAGGACTCATAAAAATGGACTGGGTTAATGACTTGTTACAAATAGTCCAGAATGCTCCTGTAGCTGTATGTGTGGAGGAGAATTAGAGTTTTCCTCTGTGGTGGCAATCCCAGTGGCCATAGTTGTTCTTGCAAATATCCTAATTGTAAAAGGTTTTTCCCTGTGGTTTCAAGTGTTATTGGGTCTAAATTCTCACAAAGCCCATTCTTGCTCCTATCAGTTGAAATGGCTCTCCCTCCAGGAGCTTACCCTGTATCGTCTTTGTGGCACTTATCACTTAGTCACTTTTTTTTTTTTTTTAGTTTATTTTTATTATGTGCCTTTCCTACATTGGAATGTAAACTCTGTAAAGCTAGAGATTGCCTGCCTTGTTAAGTTCACCTGGAACAATGCCTAGCACATGGTGTTCACTTAAAAAAATGTTTATGGAAGGGAACAATGACATAGGATTTCATAGATTGAATTTTCAGGCTTTAAGGGGTTTCTGCCAAAAGAATTGTGGTGAGTAAATCCATGCTGACCTATCCCACATGTTTACCAGTTTAGAGACATCTGACCTATCTTTGGTATTCTTCAGTTTGCTTTCTTTTATATTTTTTGAGGGTTGGGGGAGGACCACCTCTTGTTTAATGTTTCCAAGTGTCTGGTATGGCATTTACATAGCAGAAGTGCTTTATGTATATTACCTAATTTAATTATTTAAACTAGGTATTCTTGTCTTCATTTTATAAATGGCAAATTATGTATTTGTTTTAACAAGGTTTTTTTTTTTTTAGTTCTTTTATATACAGCCTGGGGCATTTAAAAAATTTTTTTAGTTGAAAATGTGATTATATCTTACAGAGTTGGGCTTTTTTTTTTTTTTAATTTGATTTTGGTAAGTCATCTTTTATTTTCTTTCTTGTTCTAATTTGATTACTTCTTTTGGAATTTCTCCAGCCCCACTGTTTTTTCTTAAGTGAAATGACATAATTAATTAATAATAGTCTAAGGGTATATATTGAAATTTAATGGGTGGAATAGTAGATTTGTTTTCTTTCAGTTACTTTTCTTATGGACTATCTCATCTACCTGATATCTTTAGCTATTGCCTGTTTCCTTTTCTGATTGCTAATTGATGATTCAGAGACTTTTTATCCATAATTTGTTATTTAAAATGAATAATTTATTTCTTTAGCAGAGTATGGATGATTTTCTGTTCTTCTGTCCTTTGAAATAACTTTGACAATTCCAATATTTTTTTTAAAGTAAGTTCTATGCCCAGTGTGGGGCTTGAACTCATGACCCCAGGATTAAGAGTCACATGCTCTACTGACTGAGCCAGCCAGGCACCCCTGTTATTTTTTTCTAAATGAGTAAATGTATTTGAAGCTTATGTACTGCCTTTTTTTTCTCATTCAGACTACTTCAGAATATATATATTTTTTATTACCAGTATTTCCCTACTCGGTAGAGTCCACTATTTACTGAAGATCTGAAGTAGCCCTCTGATCCGCCTTCCAAATAAGTTATTAAAATGTTTCCCAGAACCAGTTCCCAGTCACTAAGGCAACTCACTAGTTTCGCCCTTGTATCCATAGCAGTGCCCATGTATCTTGTCTTCTGTATACCATGTCTAAATTAGCTTTTTTTTTTTTAAGATTTTACTAGTTAGAGGGTACGTGTGAGCAGAGAGAGACTCTCAGGCAGACTCCACTCTGGGCAAGGAGCCTGATGCAGGGCTTGATCCCAGGACCAGGAGATCATGACCTGAGCTGAAATCAAGAGTTAGACACTCAACCAACTGAGCCACCAAGAACCCCTAAATTGGTTCTTAATCCATGACAAAAATAGCCCCTTTTATGCATGTAGATTCATTTTTAATAGTATTTAAGCATAGCCACTAGCTAACAGCCTGAGAATCTAAATGGACTGACCACATCTAATAGTTTTTCCTCCTAAAGAGCTCTCCTTTATTTTTTTTTAAAGATTTTATTTATTTATTTGACAGAAAGTTAGCAAGAGAGGGAATACAAGCAGGGGGAGTGGGAGAGGGAGAAGCAGACTCCCCACTGAGCAGAGAGCCTGATATGGGGCTCGATCCCAAGACCCTGGGATCATGACCTGAGCCGAAAGCAGAGGCTTTAACCCACTGAGCCACCCAGGCGTCCCAAGAGCTCTCCTTTAAAAAACTAAAAGAAAACATGTTCCCTTTCTCTTTTTGGATGTTAGTACTATTTAGGTATTTAATCATTGTGTCTTTTTTTTAATGGAATCAACTAGTTGGCCAGACATAGAGATTACATAGTTAGGGATTCTTTCTTAAGGATCCTGGGCTTGTTGGATGTCCATAAGTCTTCTAGCACAACACCATAGATAAGACATGTTACATGTTTTGGCTCTACAGTTGTGTCATTGGATTTCTTCAGTACTCTGAAGTAGTATATGTGAGTTGAATTTTTTGGTTGCTTGTGGGATATCCTGTATATTTGATCAAGCAACTCTATCCTATTTTATTTAAAAAAATAGGAAATCTCTTTATTATTCTCCTTAAACACAAAATTCATTCAGTATTTTAACTCTCTTCACCTCATGAAAAAGTATCTTTTAATCATTGTGGTATCCCCTAAACAAAGCATGGTACATACAGCCCATTTAACATAAGTGTGATGAATGAATGGATGAAGAATATTATAAGATTATATCTTCCAAAAGTCCTTATAAACAGATCTGTTAAGGACTGAATTGACAAGTCTTCTCCAAAAATGAGTGCTGTTGTTACACAGTATAGGATATATATAGGAAAAAATTCTTAAAAGATACGAAGTATTGTTTTGTATTAGTCCTTGCTCTTGATTAGAAATGTAGGATTTTCCTTTAAATATTTACAGGAAAGTGAAGAATTAGACTGGAATTTACTGAAACCAGATATTTATGCAACAATCATGGATTTCTTTGCTTCTGGCTTACCCTTAGTTACTGAGGAAACATCTTCAGGAGAAGCAGGTACTATGTTGGGTAATTAATATTTATTTTAAGTAAAAAAAATTTTTTTCTACTTTCTTCACATTTGTTTTGATTTTGGAAGTCATGATAGTAGATTTTTATCATTGTACCATGTTTAGATCTGGAACCAATTCCAGAGGGAACAAAACTTCACATATATTAGTTTTATCCATCATTTTTGAAAACTTCTGCCTAAATTGACTATATTATACAAAATGGAATTTTTCAATTATAAAAATTTTTAAACACAGAAAATAATATGTATACCAATTTGCTCTCCTCTCAAATTTAACAGATGTTAATATTCCCCAAAATTGTTTGAGACCCATTTTTAAATAAAACATTAAAGACACAGGGCAGCCCTGTTGAGACCCCTCTCACTCTTGAGAGCTTTTTCATTGTCTTCACTTAATAAACTTCTATCGCTTTACTCAAAAAAAAAAGTCCACGACATTAAAGATAAAACCAAAACCTCACAGCCCCCATCCATTGCTTTCCCCCTTTCTATTTCCAGAGATGTATAAAAACCTGGCTTGTTTTTAAACTTTTACTACATGTGTAAGTCTCTGTGGAGAATATATGGTATGGGTTTTTTAAACTTTAATGTGCATTATATGCAACTTGCCTTTTTTCACTGAACATATTTTGAAATACAGCCATTTTGAAAAAAGTGTCATTCTAGTTTAAGTGCTAGGTAGTATTTTTTTTTTAAAGATTTATTTATTTTAGAGAGAGAGCATGCACACTCGTGTGGGGGGAAGGGCATAGGGCAAGAATCTTTCAAGCAGACTCCATGCTGAGTGTGAAGCATGATGTGGGCTTGAGCTCATGACCCATGATATCATGACCTGAGCTGAAACCAAGAGTCTGATGCTCAAATGACTGAGCCACCCAGGTACCCCAACATAAGAGAACCTTTGTTTTATTATATTTTATTTCTTTTATTAAAAAAGGCTCAAAGTTAATATAATTTGATATTGATAATTCTTACATTGTTGCCAGAACTCTAGAGTGTGTATTATAGTATAATTTGAATTATCTGTATTTTTCATTTTCCTAAAGGTAAATTTCTCAAAAAAATTTTTAAATCCACAAAAAGGTATTGGTAAAGATCAGTATATAACCTTATAAAGTAAAAGAGAAGCAAAAATGACACAAAATGAAAAACTTATATTTTTCTTCAGATTTGTAGAATATTTTGGAAATTTCCATAAGGCTTATATCTAAATTTAGTATGGATGTCATTTAGAAAACCTCTATATTGAAAAATTAAAAATATAATTTAACTTATGAAGTAGGTGTACCTTTGTGTCTCAGACTTTCCCTCAGAATCCAGGCAATCTTTTTTCTCTGCTACTTCTCAATCCTTGAGGATGATGAAAGTTTACAAACCAAAAAAATTCAAACCCTAACATCATTAGTAGATCGAGTTATCACCAAGTGTTGAGTTGGCCAGTGCTCCTTAATTTTTCTTCAGAGAATCAAGGGCCACCTGGGTGGCACAGTTGGTTGAACGTCAGGCTCTTGGCTTTGGCTCAGGTCATGATCTCAGGATCATGGGATTGAGCCCCACACTGGGCTCCACAGTCAGTGGGGAGTCTGCTTGAGACTCTTTCCCTCTCTCTCTTCCCCTCTCTCCTGCGTATGCATGTGTTTTCTCTTCCTCTCTCAAATCTTTTTTAAAAAGTTTTTCTTCAGAGAATCGAATGGTCTTTCCATCTCTCCAACTATCATTTCCATTTCCCTTTTATCACCATACCAAGTTAGATGTGTATGCTTTTATTATTTTTTTAATGAGACATTAAGTTAAAATCATCCCTTTTAATACTTTTATTTGCACGGATATAAACTTTCTATCATTGATATATTTTATTTGCAATTGTTAATAGGATCTGAAGAAGATGATGAAGTTGTGGCAATGATTAAGGAATTGTTAGATACTAGAATACGGTATGTGCTCATCATTCTGCCCGAAATCAAATATGGTGCAGAGGCAATTTCCATTATAGCAATTTACTTTTAGCTGTCTGTGAGGGGAAAAAAAAAAAAAACCTCTAGTAAATAAGTAGAAGTAAATGTAAACTGTAATAGGTAACCATGGCAGTTGAATTTACATTCTGTATATGCACTCCAAAATTTTTAAGACAATCTGTCTAAACATAGTGAGGGAATTTATCTCTCACAGTCACAGTCTAGGTTTGATATTGTTATAGTACCAAATTTCTTAAAATGAAAAAATGAGTTAAATAGTGTTTGGGTGGATTGTGAGAAGAGAAATACTTTCTTTCAGACTATTGCCCATAAGGAAGAAATTTAAATGAGCGGAGAATTGCAGGCTTCCACTTTTGCTTGTAGCAGACCTGGTGAGAACTCACAGAAATACAATAAAATGTTTTTTTTCGTTCGAAAACAGTAGAGAGCTGCCAAAGCACACAACATCCTATAGAGAAGGGAAGCTCATGAAGGTTTCCCATGGGTCATTTTGCTGATTCTCAGTGTGAGGCTAGGGTATGAGAACCTGGGCAAAGGGCAACTGTTTGTATCTACTAAATGTGAGTATACGTACATTCTTGATCCAGCAATTTCGTGCTCAGGTGTATTCCCAGTGGCCCTGTATATGTATGCCAAAAGACATCTGCAAGAGTCTTCATAGCCGCACTGTTTGTAAAAACCAAAAACTGATTTTCACCCAAATATCTGTCCACAACAGCAGGGATAAATTCTGGCATTTTCACTTAATGAAACACTGTGATGATGTGGAAGAATCTCATTAAGAGCAAAATAAGGCAAATACAAAAGAGGAAATCCTATGTTTTTTAAATGGAATGCCTGTTTATAATTGTAAAGTTACAAAACAGACCTAATCAATGGTAATAGCAATTAGGAAATGGTTATCTTTGGTTGCCGGGAAGCACAAGGGGGACTTCTGGGGGTGCTAGCTTTGTGTCTTGGCCTGAGACAAATGTGTGTTCACTTTGTAAAAATTTGTGTAATTGATCATACATGATTCATGCGTTTTTCTGTATTAATGTTATATTTCGATGCAAAGTTTATCTGGCAAAAAAAGCCAGCATGTATCATGTCAGTCAGTGTCTGTTCATTCAAAAAAAATGAGTGAGTATTATCTTAGGTAATTGTAATTATTAGGACATTTGAGATCTTAAATGCCTAACAAGATTATTAATAAGCAGGATTAAAATATAATAAGTGGAGCAAAGATTTGTATGAATGAATTTGCACATTTTACCTGAAACTTTTAAAAAGTTACAAATGAGACTAGCTACATTTCTCTTCCCTATTGTATAAGTAGCTCCAACTTTGTGAATTTTACCAATACAAAAATCTAAGCCCTGAGTTGTTTTAAGTTTTTTTGGTGGACGCTTCAGTTCTTTTACATATATCACAAATATTCTGTGACCACAGGCCGACTGTGCAGGAAGACGGAGGAGATGTGATCTATAAAGGCTTTGAAGATGGCATCGTACAGCTCAAACTCCAAGGTTCTTGTACCAGCTGCCCCAGTTCAATCATTACTCTTAAAAATGGAATTCAGAACATGCTGCAGTTTTATATTCCAGAAGTAGAGGGTGTAGAACAGGTATGCCAATATTACATAACAGTCAAGATTTAATATTAAACTAAATATTTGGGGGGAAGAAAGAAATTTATGACCTGACATATTCTTGAGGGGCTGGATCTCTGTTACAGTTGTTATTAGACTTGAAGACTCCTTATTTTAGAATTCACTTTAGTGTTATGAATACCTATCTATTTGCCAGGCCTTTTTACAAATACTCTTCCTTTAATCTTCTCACAACACAGTATTGAGTAAGGCATTCCCATTTTGTACGTAAGGAAATGGAGACTTAGAAGTCTTGCTGCTGCTCTGGTTATAGAAAAATTTTGAAAAGGGGATTCAAAACATGGATGTTGGGGCGCCTGGGTGGCTCAGCGGGTTAAAGCCTCTGCCTTCGGCTCAGGTCATGATCCCAGGGTCCTGGGATCGAGCCCCACATCGGGCTCTCTGCTCAGCAGGGAGCCTGCTTCCCTTCCTCTCTCTGCCTGCCTCTCTGCCTGCCTGTGATCTCTGTCTGTCAAATAAATAAATAAAAATCTTTAAAAAAAAAAAAAAAAAAAAAAAAAAAAAACATGGATGTTATAGCTGAGAGTTGGAAGTCCTCAGTGGAAGAGCTCCATCATATTTATGCATCAGATTTATCCAGGCAAGAACCTCATCGAGAAATCATACTTTGTTGTACAGTAAGACAGAGGACTAAATGGAGTTCTAGCCTGATAGCATTTTTTCTGCCCCAGAGCACCTCAGGAATAGCACAGAAACTTCTCAGTAGTAATAGTGGCCATACTGCCGCAGTTCTCAACCAAGAGGCTTGGCCTTATGGAAAGAGATTATCAAGGAGGAAAACAATGTATGGATATTGGAAATTTGAAAAAACTCTTCAGGTCACTCTGCCTTTAAGGAGAGGGCATCTCCTCAGCTCCTTTGAGAACCACTCATCTCTGAGTAGTATGAAAATCCATCCTTTCGGTATAATACATGGCATCTGCTCTTTGAAGGCCATATTGGTCCTATCCTTGGACTTGGGCTCTGCTTTTTTTTTTTTTTTTTTTT